CCCAGAACTGGACACAATATTCCAGATGCGGTCTCACCAGGGCAGAGTAGAGGGGAAGGAGGACCTCTCTCGACCTACTAACCACCCCCCTTCTAATACACCCCAGGATGCCATTGGCCTTCTTAGCCACAAGGGCACAGTGTTGGCTCATGGTCATCCTGTTGTCCACTAGGACCCCCAGGTCCCTCTCCCCTACACTGCTCTCTAACAGGTCGTTTCCCAACCTATACTGGAACCTGGGGTTGTTCCTGCCCAGATGAAGGACTCTACACTTTCCCTTGTTATATTTCATCAAGTTACTCCCTGCCCAACTCTCCAGCCTGTCCAGGTCTCGCTGGATAGCAGCACAGCCTTCTGGCGTGTCAGCCACTCCTCCCAGCTTAGTGTCATCAGCAAACTTGCTGATAGTACACTCAATTCCCTCATCTAAATCATTGATGAATATATTAAATAATACCGGTCCCAGTACTGACCCTTGAGGCACTCCACTAGTTACAGGCCTCCAACTAGACTCCGCCCCATAGACTACAACTCTCTGGCTTCTCTCCTTCAGCCAGTTCGCAGTCCACCTCACTACCTGATCATCCAGTCCACACTTCCTCATTTTAGCCGTGAGGATGCTGTGGGAGACTGTGTCAAATGCTTTGCTGAAGTCAAGGTAGACCACATCCACCGCTCTGCCATCATCCATCCACCGTGTTATTTCCTCATAAAAGGCTAAGAGATTGGTCAAACATGATTTCCCCTTGGTGAAGCCATGTTGACTGCCCCTCATAACCTTCTTATCCTTGATATGCCTTAAGATGGTACCAAGGATAAGGTGTTCCATCACTTTCCCAGGGATGGAGGTGAGGCTGACCTGTCTATAGTTACCCAGGTCCTCCTTCTTGCCCTTTTTGAAGACTGGAGTGACATTTGCTTTCCTCCAGTCCTCAGGCACCTCTCCCGTTTCCCAAGACTTGGTAAAGATGATGGAGAGTGGTCTAGCAATGACTTCCGCCAGTTCCCTCAGCACCCGCGGGTGCATCCCATCTGGACCCATGGATTTATGGGTCCAGATTGCTCAACTGTTCTCTAACCCATTCCTCATCGACTAAGGCAAACCGCTCCGTTGACCTGACTTCATCTAAGGTCTCAGGGGTACAGGGCTCTTCAGTACTGCCTGCAGCAGAGTAGACAGAGACAAAGAAGGCATTCAGTAACTCTGCCATCTCTGTATCTTCTGTCACCAGGGCACCCATCCCGTTCATCAGTGGGCCTACATTACCTCTGGTGTTAGTTTTGTCTGCCATGTATTTGAAAAAGCTCTTTTTGCTGTCCTTGACCCTTCTTGCCAGGTTTAATTCTAAGGAGGCCTTAGTCCTCCTAGCTGCCTTCCTACATCCTCTAGCAGCAGCCTTATATTCCTCCCAAGTGGCCAGCCCCTCCTCCCATGACCTGTAAACTCTCCTCTTCCACCTGAGCATACCCAGCAATTCCCTATTTAGCCATGCAGGTCTCTTGGCCCTCTTCCTTGACTTCCTACGTGTCGGGATGCTCTGATCTTGAGCACGGAAAAAGCAGTCCTTGAATGTCAACCAACTATCTTGGGCCCCTTTACCTTCAAGCAGCCTTGCCCATGGGATTTCCCCTAGCAATTGCTTGAAAAGGCCAAAGTTTGCCCTGCTAAAGTCCAGGGTTGCAATTCTACTTGGTATTCTACTAGTCCTACCACACAAGATCCTGAACTCCACCATCTCATGGTCGCTGCAACCAAGGCAGCCCTCAACCCTTACTGCTTCGACCAGATCCTCCTTGTTAGTGAGGATGAGATCCAGCAGCGCTCCTCTCCTGGTCGGCTCATCCACCATTTGCAGGAGGAAGTCATCATCCATACACTGGAGGAACCTCCTGGACTGCGGCTGGGTTGCTGAGTGGTCCTTCCAGCAAACATCAGGGAAGTTAAAATCCCCCACGACGACCACAGCCTGTGACTGTGAGGCCACTCTCAGCTGCCTGTACAAGGCCTCGTCAACTTCCTCACCCTGATCCGGTGGTCTGTAACAGACACCTACAACAGTATCCCCCCTGCCAGCCTGCCCCTTAATTCTCACCCACAGACTCTCAACTCGCTCATCATCTGTCCCTGGACAGAACTCGGTGCATTGTAGTTCCTCCCGCACATAAAGAGCGACCCCACCACCCTTCCTGGCTGGCCTGTCTTTCCTGAAAAGGACATAGCCCTCCATGACTATATTCCAGTCATGTCAGCTGTCCCACCACGTCTCTGTAATTGCCACCAGATCATAGTCTCCTGACTTAACACAGGTTTCCAACTCCTCCTGCTTATTTCCCATGCCGCGCGCATTGGTGTACAGGCATTTCAGGGAGCGAGCTGAGCACACCAATTTCACCCTAGGATTGTAGGAGGCCTCCCAGTCTTCATCAATTCTGGAGCGCTGCCCCACTGGGGCAAGCCCAGCTACAACCCCATCCCCCTTCGAATCTAGTTTAAAGCTCTCCAAATGAGCCCTGCTAATTCATGCCCCAGCATCCTTTTGCCTCTGTGAGATAAACCTTTCTTACTTGTCATTGTCCAGACTGGTGCCCTGTAAAACCAGCCGTTATCAAAGAATCCAAAGCCCTGCCTGTAGCACCAGTCTCGAAGCCAATTGTTCATGAACTGAATCTTCCCATTCCTTCCCACATCAGTGGAAGATGGAAGGAGTGAGGAGAAGATCACTTGAGCCCCAGACTCTTTCACCATCCGCCCCAAGGCCCTGTAGTCTTTCTTCATCCCCCTCAGACTGCAGGAAGCAGCTTCCTCCCCACCTGTCTGGAAGACCAGCAGCGGGTAATAGTCTGTCGGGTGCACCAGGTTGGGGAGCGCCCTGGTGATATCCCTGATCCGGGCTCCAGGCAGACTACACACTTCCCTATGATGAGGGTCAACTCTGCATATCGGGCCCTCTGTTCCTCTCAGAAGGGAATCCCCTACTACAATGACCCTTCTTTGTTTCTTAACAGAGGCAGTCTTGAGGTGCAAAGTCGACCCCCTTTTCCTATGTGGCCTTGTGGGCTGGCCTTGCCCCACATTCTCACCTACCTCTCCTTCAAGATCCAGGGCCTCGAACCTATTACGGAGGGACACCTGGGGAAGCAGGGCAGGAAGGGAGGAGGGTTTCCCACGACGTCGAACTGGAACTCGCTTCCAACCCTCGTCGTCTTTTTGGTCCCCTACCTCTGCGCAACAGCTACAGGGCAGGGGCTGCCTCGGGCCATCCCCCTCTGTGTGAGGGGGCAGGGGGTCCTTCCCCTTTTGGGGGGTATCTCCCTGGAACCGTTCCAACTGGCCCGCCAGGGAGTTACTCCACCAGTCGATCTCCCTTTCACACTCCCTGATGGTCCTCAGTGTCTCAACCTCCTCCTTAAGTCTTGCCACCAGGCTAAGCAGATCTTCTACCTGCTCACACCTCACTCAGGTGGAATGCTGTCCTCCCTCCCCCGGCAGCAGCAGGCTCTGGCACTCCCTGCACCCAGAGACCTGAACAGCCACGGTTTGGGACAGGGTCTCTGTCTGAGTTGCTGTAGTCACCTTACTGCAAGCTCTCTTTCTGGAGGCGACCATACTGGTCAGCAGTCTGGGACACCAGCAACAGGGTCAGCAACACGACCTGCTTGTTCCTCCCTGCGCCTAGTGGCCACCGACGTCGCTGCCCTCTCTGAGGCTCTTTCAGGGCAAGCGGCAGGGGCGTGGTCACCGTCACCCTGGGAACGCCCCCCGCTACGTCAGCCTCTCTCTCGCAAGGGCTGCTGGGGCTTCGGGGATCGGGAGATGTCGGGGATCGGGAGATGTCGGGAATCGCGATGTCTCTGCGCTATCCCCTCTGATTTTCCTAATCTCCGTTGACCCTCGCGGTCGCTGAAGCGTGCCGGCTGTGGCTCTAGCTAGGCTAGCTCCGATCAGCTGACTGAATGAGTCATTTTGCTTTCATGAGAAGGACAGTTATTTTGGTGTATCACCATTTCTAACAGTGTCTCATTTTTATCTTCTAAGGGTCTGGATTGAGTCTTAATACAGCAAAAGGCAGAAGCCTTTGTAAGACAAAGTTTGTACAATATCTTGGAGACTATTCACTTTTTATGAAAGGTAAAAGGAAAGCTAGGGAAAATGTAGGCCTGCTGCTGGACGGAGCAGGTACCCTGGTGACAGAGGACACAGGGAAGGCAGAGATACTGAATATCTACTTCAATCTTCAATGTCAAGGCCAGCCCTCAGGAATCCCTCACCTAGGAAACCAGGGAGAAGGTCTGGAGAAAGGAAGTCTTTCAGTTTGTTGAGGAGGTGTAGGTCATGAGATGATTTAGAAATGAGAAAATGAGATAACTTAGACAAACTTGACATCCAGATACATGGCCCAGGTGCACCCACAAGTGCAGAGAGACCTGGCAGACATTGTTGCTAGGCTACTCTTGATCATCTTTGAAAGGTCATGGCAATAAGGAGAGGTGCCTGAGGACTAGAAGAAAAAAAAATGTCATCCCAGGCTCCAGCAATGGCAAGAAGGAGGATCCTGAGAACTACAAGGCCACCCAGCCTCACCTCAATCCGTAGAAAGGTGATGGAATGGCTCATCCTGGAGGCTGTCGCTAAGCATGGGGAAGGCCAGAAGGTGATCAGGTGTAGTCAGCATGGATTCACGAAAGGGTAATCACACTTAACCGACCTGATTGTCTTTTACGATAGGATAGCTGGCTGTATAGATGAGGGGTGGTCCCACAGGGACATTGGTCTAGATGACCCCCAGTGGTCCCTTCCAACCTCAACCATTCTGTGATTCTGTGATTTGGTTGTTAAATCTGTAGAATGAAAACTAAGACCAAGTACCTTTGGTAAAGGCAGATTTCCTCAGTGTTGCCAGGTATTCCTCAAGTCTGAGAGGTGAATGCTCAGAAAATGCTCAGAAAACCAGTGTAATTTCCAAGTGTTTGCTCAGTTAGCCCTACAGGAGTACAAAAACTGATATTAAAATGTAACATCTTATTTTAACACTGAGTCCTTCTTTTCTTCTTCACTTTGTTTAAAGATAGAAACAAGTTCAGCTCATCATCTGTTTCAGCAGTGGAAAGGCCACAGAGAAGGAAGAGGGGGTCTTCCTGACAGTATTTCTGGCTTGTCCTTGTAAAATGGAATTAAGTCACATGGGCCCTTCCTCTCCTTGCAGCAGCCAAGGTTAGCCATAACCTCATCTTCAGTGAGAAATCGATGTTTTTAATCTTGAGTGCTCATTTTCAAATTGAAATACAGTTCATCACATTGCTGTTCTTCCATATTATGAAGTCCTCTGACAGAGATAATTCTAATTTAAAATTAACCACAAGACGCAGCACCAGGTTATGATAGTTTGAAGATTGATCATATTTTGCATTTATTTAGTGTGCCTTTTAAGGTGAATGAATCTCAGCTAGTCTAATGCAAAGTTAAAGTAGTGGTTTTAAATTTTTTCCTCTCTAACATACATGTTATTCTTCTCTCTTCCACTGTACTCCTTTTATATTCTTAGGTAATTCAGAAACCCAGCAATAATTAGTATTGGTAGTATTTCCACATGAATATTAGATTTCTATTTTAGATTTTATGATTTTTGCCCCAGGCTGTTTTTAATAAACAGTAATAGTCTGTTAAAAATGTTCTGCACATTGATGCATAGGCTGATTTAGTTCTTTCCCTGGGACACTGAAAGAAAAGCATAATTAACATCACTCCTGAGATTTAACTTTTGTATTATGCTAATTATTCCTGGAACTGGAAACAGTTTTTCAAGTGATTTTAAACTGTGTTGCTTAGCTATAATTACATTTTAGTCTACTGTCTAATAATAGGCTGATTCTCTTTTATGCTTAGAGAATTATTGTCACAAAAATATTTGAACAGTCTACATTTGTGTGTTCTTGTTGCAGTCAGTGGAGTGGGGGGAGGTTAGCTTTACCTTAGGGGTTTCATTTGAAGCATTAGTAGAGTGCTTTAGGCATCAGATATTAAAATTTGTGTCCCTTATGGACCAAAAATCTAATATTTTAACATATTTGTGTCCTTTATATCTTTTCAGAATGATAGTCATATTCATCCAGTGCTTTAGGTTCCCAGTAATTTCTTCCATGCATAAATAAACTTTTAAAAAATGGCTTCCATGCTTGTCTTTGTAGAAAGTGATGTGGTATGTATATAAAAAGTTAATAAAGCTATACTGAATATTTTATTTATATTTCCAAAGCCTCAGAAATCAATATAAAAAATTAACATCCCTGATGTTATAATTTCTGAGTTAAAACAGCTTTCATATTAACAAAGAGATATAAATGAAAGTTTGTTATATAATTTGCTGACTATACTGGGAGTGTTTTTATGACATTGTGCTACATCTGACTTCTCCATGAACTGTATGAAGTCATATGGCTAAGAACGTTGGCTTTACCATTGTCTGCTTTCCTTGTGAGAGACAAAAGGTCCAAATTCAGTGACTTAGTCTTGCATTTTTTATAAACAGTGTATTTGTTCCTGAAATTATGTGTAAATGCTGGAAGAAAACTTTAAGATCTGTTCATGAAACTCTGAATGCTGAAACTGTAAGCAGGGAGTCTTGTACCTTTGTTATTCTTTCTAATAAAGAAAGTGAACAGTAGATTGTATGCATGCATAGAAATTCTGAATCCTAGAAATTTGCCTTATTGAAGTATTAAGTTGGCGCTCTTCCAAAAAAGTGTTTCAGTGTTGCGTATAAAATATTGCAAAAAGGATGCCATGGCAGATTGATTTATATCCATTAATATCCCTGTAAGACCCAGTTCAGTGTCTTTATTGCTGTCACTCTTGTCAGTGAATATTTAGGGACAAGCAGCTTCTCAGTATACTGTTTGTCCTGCATTTAGATTAGGTTTGTAAGCCAATAATCATTGAAGTTTTCACTGTTTTTGACTAGTGTCACAGTTCTCCAATAATTGCATCAGAATTATTGGTAAGATAGATATAATGTATAACTAACTTCCTTCTATTTGTGGTATTTATGTCCAGCAGTAATTATGTGCTTCAGTTTTCCTGTGTAATCTTTGTAAAATACTTAGGCAGAGGGAAGAAGCCTTCCACATAGCCAGTAGAAAAACTGTTCCTGTTTGCTGGATGTCATAGCATCTGCTAAGAGTAATAACATTGATGAAATAATCCTAAACGAGAAAAAAACATTACTCATGACTCACCAAAAGAGAGTAAAATAACGAGGTAGCTATTTCCTTTAAAGACACAAAGAAGGGAAGTCCACCATAGCTGAACTTGTGACACTGTGGCTACTTGTCTTTCTCCCAGTCTCTAGTTGGAAAAAAAAAAAAAAGTGGAATTACTTTTGGAGAAGAAAAAAAAAAAACCACACTTTTTTGTGTTCCCAGACTGACTGAAAACTGGTATGTTTACATTTACATTAATAGTATCATAGCAGGCTTGCATCAGTAAAAATATGAGGATAAATGAGACACCATATGTGCAGCTCCACACTTAATTGCTACAAGAACACCTCTGCAGTGAAGATCATGACATCGTTTTGAAATTTGCTTGCTTCTCTTTATCCTTGCATGCATGTTATTTCTGGCCATCTGCAGGAAATATTATGAAATTATAGTCAGCTGGCCATTCTAACAACAGAAGAATATTAATGATAAAAATTGGTATTACTAATGAAGGCTCCTAAATTACTGGATGCTTACCAAGGGTCATTATGACCCACAATTTCAGTCTAACTTTTGTTTTTCCTGTTGCAATTAAACAACAAACCCCCTAAAACCTAGAATGCTGCTTTAGAACCGATACAACGTCAAGCGAAGTTAATGTCACACAGTGAACACAAAACTTTGCACATGTCATCTGCAGGATGAAAACCTATTACTTCTGTCTAGATGATTCAGTGTTCCAACAGCAGAAAAGCCTTCTGTGTTGCTGTGGCATTCAGGGGCAAGTTTATAGTCACAACAGTAAAAACAGACACCCATGTGACTAAGTTTGCTTAAACAGCACTTATATAACTTAAACAGTTATATTTTAAGTATGTTGATTTGAAGTTTATTGTACTTACCTTGACATTATAGGGGAAGTAAAACCATGAATCACAGAGTAAGCTATGTATCTTCACATTGTAGCTAAACAGGTAAGTCCTTACTGGACTCCAATACCTACCATGAAAACAAAAGGTAGAAGTATTAAACTATATTAATCCATCATTTTGCGGTCAATCACTAAATGGAACTGGTGGAATGATTTAAAAACATTATTTGTCTTGCTGAAGTGAATATGATTTTCCTGTGATGTGTAAAGATATTGAGAAAGTAGGTGTCATGCACAGACCCTATAAATAGTATAATTATTTAAGTATTTTACTTAAAGACCAATTTAGACATCATTCAGTTTGTCCAAACCTGAAAATGAAAATAAAGCTGCATTAAAATGCTAAGAAATATCAATCAACATGTACTGGAATTGTGATTAGAAAATATTAGTACAGCTTTCATAAAAATAAAAAACTTTCTGTGATGATACAACTTACAAAGAGAAAGTACTATACCATAAAAAGAGAAGTGAATTTTTAGAAGAGTATTAGTTGATCTGTTTTGAGGCCACTGCTATCCCTCTCACCCTGTTATACCCATTGATCATTCTTTCATTTCCTTCTATTGACCATATACTGACCAGTATTTCTGACCAGAAATTAACCTTTTCCTCCACTGCCCTCCAGCTCAACTAGCTATCAGTTGGTATATTGTGGCCTAAGATCAGCCTGAGCTCTCCATAGAGCAAGCCAGCTCTGTTCAAACTTATGTAAAACTAATTCAGAGCAGTGTGTTACTCTGGACATATAGCAGGCTCTAACAGTAATTGTCCAAGATAAATTAGAACAGAATAGCACAGAGCTATGATTTCAGTCACTGAGCTGCAGGTAACCACTCCCCTAACCCCCCAAGGCATAGTTTTGAGCTTTTCTGTCAAGGCATCTGCTGGGATACTTTGTCCTTATGGTATAAATTCAAGTGGGTGATGAAAGTCTTATGGGAATGTTATTCTAGAAAGAGATTGCTGTAAAGCAAACAGTCTTATAGCTACATTTATCCTCCCAGGCATGTGTCTGATATTTTATATCGTATATCTGATATATTATGGTTTAAAAAAAAAACCAACAAAAACAGAGCTGAAAAGGGCTGGCTTGCCTGGCTTTCTATAAAATGGTTATTCTGGAGTAGTTTTTAAATATCCCATTTGTAGATTTGCACCTCCCTTGGGCTTTTAGAGTAGCCAAAACTGGGGCAAGCTATAAATGTGAAAAAAGGTATTTTTTGTGGCTGATGTTCAAAGAATTCAAGTAACTTTGAAAATAAGGGATGATTTTGGATTCTTTTAATGACACTACTCTCATTTTTCCAATATATGTTGTGTGTTATCATATTGCATACTCAGAACTCTGGGGAACTCTGAGGCTGTAGTACTATTACAGGCCATGCTGTACCTAGCAGCACCACTGGGCTGTCAGTTGGGCTGGCTTTAAGCATGGGAGGCTGCCCAAAACAGCCAACTATTGGGAGAGAGCAGCAGTGGCTCTGCTTTTTCTTTTTGTTTCCAAGTGTTCCACTGGGAAATTGTGGCCACCAGCTGCAGTGCCAGCACTGAGTATTGGTAATCCTTATTAAGTGAGAAATTTGGGAGCATTAGCAGTATGCACTGCTACAAGTGATATCCCCAATCCTTCTTTAGCATCTTCCCCCTCCCCCTCATCTCCTACCCAACTCCAATAAAAGTAACAGTGAACAGTGAACCCGACTCTTCAGTATGCCTTTATCCTTGGCACTCTCCTCTTCCTGATGGAATTTTCTAGTGCTTTAGGAGCAACTCAGTCTCAAGCCTTATTTTTTGGAGAAGGCAAAGAGAAAAGGCTTGACCTGGGCTTGTCAACAGGTGTGATTTGTGATGATCTGTGCACTGTATTGCTCTGAAGGACAGAAATTGTTATTCTCTGTCTTCATTAACATACAGATTTTGCACATTAATGCAGTTGTATGCTTAAGATGTTGAAGTTGAGAAAGAAAGGTGGATTTTTCACTTTTATCAGTTGGCAGGGTATTCTTGCTTTTCCACCATGGACCGAAATCGGAGATTCTGAGAATACTGGAATGATTATTTGAAACTTATTAATATGAATGTGATTAATTAAACAACAGAGGCTTTCTTTCATCTGAATAGCTTCCATTGAGGCTCTTTTCTCTGTTTAGTAGTCACATAAGAGCTGCAAGACTATAAATGTAATAGTTTGCATTCTATGTTGCTGAACAAGGCAAAACTCTTCTGCATATATAATCTGCAAAATAACTTTCAAAAACCTCTTTTTCTGTTTTGATTAATCATTGGGGGTTTGCAGAAAATCTCACCTGGGTAACAAGAAGCATCTGAAATTGCTGAAGGGCAGGCATTCCTAGACCTTCAAAATACAGACAGAGGCAAGAGGAGCTTTCAATTTTATTTGTGTAGAGATGCTTACCTGAGTCAGCACTGACAATACATTCATGCAGACAGTAATTGATTCATCAATAAAGGGCCTGTGTGTAGCTGCAGTACTTGGACATTTGCCACCCATTATCTGATCGGCATCTGTGGCTTATGATGTTCAGACACATCTCCTGGCTCCTTGTCATAGAGTGTTGCACTTCACAAAGGTGTCCTAGACAATCCCAGTGGTTGATTCAGAATTAAGAACATTGTCAGGGAGGGATGAAAAATGGAGGACAATCTTACGTCTCAGGGAGATAGGGTGATTACTGTGGAGATTGTAGTTTCAGAGTGATAACTTTGTATGAGAAAAGAGATGCTCTTGCTTGTACAGACAGTTCATACCGGATGTGTTATGCAGTGTCTGGTGATGGTTGTACCTAAGCCATCTGAACTTTCATTTCTTATTGAAATGTAATTTTTGTCTGTTAAGAGGGTCCTGTTAGTGTTTCCTGCCACCATAGATGGTCAGAGCATTAGTTCCAGTAAATTTTACATTTTATTTTCCCTGTATTTCTATTTTATAAATAGAACTGAAGATGTTTACAAAATTTTTTTTTATATTATACAGTGGTGGTGGAGGAGAGTCCAAAACTCATTTCTTTTGCATAGTGAGCATTTCATCACCCCATAGTAGTTACTCCATCTTTTATTTTGTATTGTCCTTCTTCCAGTCTTAGATGTGATAATTTTTTAAATAATTGAAAAATCTTATTTTACAATCCATTTTAGCTACAAGCTCATCAGGACACTGTAGGTTTTCTATTTTGCTGTCAGCTTTCCAGTATGCATTTGGAAGGCTTTTGTCTAGTAGATATATTGGAGCAGTATAAAACCATAAGCAGTAAAACTTTGTAAAATAGTATAAGGCAGTTAAAACATAGCAGGAAATGAAGGTTCTGATGCTAAGAATAGGATTGTGAGTAAAGATAAAACAATAAAAGAAATGCATTGTTTTATTAAAAGTATCTATGCAAATTTAAAGAAGGCTGCAGTTGTTCAATGAAAAAGGAATGTGATTTACTATAAATATTAGAATGCAAAAGACCAAGTCAGCTGTCACAGTCAAAAAAGTTTTTTTTTCATCAGGTATGACAAAGTGTTTGCTTCATTCTACTCAAGACTATTCATTTCATTTTACATAAGGGAAGAAGATCCTTCTTTTATTCACTGGGACTTTAATGTCCAAGTGAAGCAGCAAGTTTAGCAGACATCAGAGTTTCAATTTAAATTGGGGCCAAAGATATCTTCAAACTTGTTCCCATAGCATTCACAAAGATTGCAGATAAGCTGACAGGTTTTGGACACTTCCCTAATTGATGGATCTAAGAAAGTTATTGAACACAACACATGGCGCTAGCAACCCAAGCCAGCTTTATGACTGACAGAACAAGTGCAATTTTCTGTATTTCTTTGTGACTATGCTGACTTCAGGTTCATGAAGAAAGTTGACTTTTGTGTCAAGTCACTGCAAAGCAAGAAAGAAAAGAAGTGAAAAATTCCTCAAGAGTTAAATTAAAAAGAGAAAATGCCTATCACTATTTTTGATCTTCAAGTACAGAACACTTTCCTCTATTTTATTATTTCTGTGTATCTGTATGATTAGACATGTTTTTTTTAAAAGACATTCACAAGCAACTTTGGATTTAATTAATTTTAGTTAATGGAGTTATTTTAGAGTTTTGTTTGCATTCTTGTGAACTTTACTGTTACTAAGTCCTATAAATAAGATCGTGACCCAACATACTAAATGTTTATTTTTAGAATTGTTTTCATGTTTTCAATTAGGTCAGGGTTTCATCTGTAGTTGACTTAATTATATTAATGCGGTCACTGGAGGAGAGCACCAGAGGGCAAATATATTTGTGGTTCAATCCGGATAACGACAGATTGCCCTCAGCTAGAAAAAAGTCCTTGCTTATTTAAATAGCTGCAACATTCATCAGTCCTCTTGGTTACTGATTGAACTGTGGTTCAATGCAATGATACCAAAATTCTTGTACGCTTTTGTTCTCTGCAGTCTGATGATTTGATATTTCCTATTACTGTTTGTACTGTTGTGCATACTCTCAATTACAACATGGTGTACTCATATCCTGCTGAGTGTTCATCTGTGTTTAAGGAAGCAGGGAGCTCATGGTTCCTTGAATGTCAGACTTCCCCGTATCACGTTTCTTTCTGATATGCTCTCTACCTATCTTCCCATGCTGTGAAGGCTGCTGAAACACTACTTTGCTGAGCCAAAACTACCATACCTTTTTGCATGTTGTTTTTTTAGCACCCTCTTTTGTCCTTTGTAATTTTTTTGTTATCTCAAACCCTAGCAGAGGTAAAACTCCCAAACCTATCTGTTCTGATGTTTGCCATTTTCGTGGTGGTCTTGAGCCACAGTCTCCCAGTGGATTGACTTTAAACCAGCTGTTTAAAGTTGGTTTAAACAAGCTTAAAAACTCCTTTCACTGGGTAACAAAGATGGGACCCATCTTTGTTGGTTAGAGCACGTCAATAGAGCAACCTAGCAAGCTTCATAGGTGTAAAGGGACAAGATGACAATATTAACCAGAATACTTATTTAGTAGAAAGAAATTCTCTGAATTATCATGGTAGTTTGAGTAATGGTAGGCTTATCATGGTTTAGCATTCATTCAAGGAGTTCCATAATACCAAGGCCTCAGTGTTTTTATTGGTAACTAATGTTTTCCCAAACCTCCAAGTTTCCTTGACTAACAAAAGGGAGAAGGGTGGTAGGTTAGCATGTCATAGCAAATATGGAGGCACTTTAGTCTTTAATTCAGCAGCTTACCTTTTCTAAAAAAACAAATTTGAGTGGCCATTTTGCCTTCTCTAGAATGACATTTGCTCAAAAGTATGCAATGATTTTCTTAAAAGTACGCAATGGAAGCATCAACAGCTGTTGTTTCTTCTTATATTTAATCTGTGTTTGCAGTATTTTACTTAAGTATTTTATGTAACTAAGTGAAAACTTGAAAACCAAAATATTTACCTTTTGTAGCATGCCCAGAGCACACAGTTACATAATGGTATGTTAGGTGTTACTTTAAAAATGTTGTAAAATGTTAACAGTAGCAAAGTATTTTCCTGCTTCTAAGATGGCAGATTTTATATTTCTGATTTAGTAACATACATTAGTTTAATTCCCATGGGTTCAGATATTGTCATGATGATAAACATTAATCCTCTAGGATATTGAGGAACCAGCTGTAACAAGCTGTCTTAATGAGTGAAGAAAGGAACTGCCTTGCTGACAGTATAACTTCCACAAACAAGATCTTGTATATATTAATGATGGTAAAAACACCAGTTTCCCAGGGTTGATACTGAAGTCTTCGGGGAAAGTAAGATCAGCACACACAACTCAGTTCTATTAAAAAAATCCCTCCTGAGAGATGTGAAATATAGTTCCCTCATTTTGTTCTGCTTTCTGTATTATTAAAGAAATTGTGAGATTGAAGTTTTGAGATTGCGGTTGTGAGATCATGTGAAGAACATGATAAAAAAGGCTTAAAATTGCCATTTCTTCTTTCATTATAATTCACTGAAACCTGTGTCGCTGACAGTGAGACATCTGGTGTTCTCCTTTAAACAAATAAATGTACTTAAAATGGTAAGATTCAATTAGAGCATGAAGTTAGCAGCAAAGATTTAACCTCGTAAGTGTCCATGACACATTCCAGGTGTCATGGCCTTTCAGAAATGCCCCCCCGTTACACTCAGGCCAGTTGTGTCCAGGCTTACAACAGCCACCTGTAAGCTTTTAGGCCTAATTCTGAATAAGCTCCTCTAGGGTTTGCATCTGGGCAGATATAGCTTGTTTGCTTCCCCCACAGACACTTGTTTTCTGGGCTTCTGTTGTTGTGCAACAGCATGTGGTAGTGCAAGCAATGTGAGGGGGGAGAGAGTTCTAACAGTGAAGAGCGGGGAAAGCCTGGTCCTTGTGCTGGCTGCTCATGATGGAGGGGTCCTCAGGGATACATCTCAGAGCCACCTGACATGTTTGTAATGTCTACACAAAGACCAAGTGTGGTAGTACAAGATAAGGAGCACAATAGTCTGTATTCCACCTTCTGCTTGTGTGGAATGATAATCTTGCAATTTAAATCAGGAATGGAGTCAGGGAAAGATGGACAGGAGTCAGCAGAAGGCTGAATTCAGCTGGCATGGTGAGTGCTTTTCATCAGAGTTTAAAAAACTGTTATTCTGTGCTTGTGTGTTCCAGCCCATGAGCTGTCAGCAGCATCATTGGCTGTTCCAAAATTACTGTGCCAGCCTCTTTCAGTGGGTGAAGGACAAAGAGTGTGTGCATGTGTAGTCAGTGGCTGAAGCTGCATAAAGTAAGAGACAGAACAAATCGGTATACAGATTACGAGCTGTGTGCTGCTGTGGCAGCACAGTGTTTTGCTGTTGCAAGCCCCAAGCTTGCTGTATGTAGTTAAGGTGGCCTCCTAACTCTGGTTCAGAGTGTGGCTGCCACTTTTGGAGGAGAACTGGAGGTTGACAGCATAAAGTGTGCTGTGTGTGGAAGCTGGCAGCAGGTCCCAGGGGTGAGAGCTGCCGTCATGACACTGTGATCTGCATTCTGCATCGCATTTTAGCAAAGACAAACTTTGCTAAATATGAAGTATGGCTGTATTCACAGAGATAATCTGATACTGTGATTACTTTGTAAGAACTTGCAGGTGTGATAACACAGCCAGCTTGGAGATATCTCTTGTGAGGTTTTTGAGGACTTGGACTGCATGTGAAGATGTGGGGGCACAGGGGTGTGGTATAGTAGAGGCAGACTAATGGGAGAAAACATACTTTTGGCTAAAACTTCTGCTCCTTATTCAAAGCTCATGTAATATAATAATCCCTATTTACACCAAAATTTGCATATTCCTTTCTGCCGTGAAACCATAATGGTAGATAAAATCATTTTAAGAAAGGGTTGTGGTTTCTATTCTTTCCTAGCAGGTATTTGCATCTATCAGTATGTACAATGAAGTCCTCAAAGTCACAGGCAATGGAGCATGGTTTATATTTATTACTGTAGCTGTATTATAAACCTATTAATAACACTGAATATGGTGGAAGAACTTATGCTTTT